GTGAGTACTTCTTAGGCATATGACGTACACCATAGTTTATTGTTAGCTATCATAATAGTATCGTAGTGTATGGCACCTACTGTGCCATACACTCTGTATGTGTATCATATTCTGTACACGTGAACTCTACCACGTGTGAGATCATGTCAAAATATTGATGACACCAAATAACTGAAAACTGATGACAGGCCTGGCCGGCCCAAATCTTGACCCAGAATCGGGTCGGCCAAAACCCGACCCTAGAACCCTAGGGATCAGTTCACAGTCCATCACAACCCCCCGCTACGGTTGCATGCCACGCGACTGTCGTGGCTGCCACCGTATCCATTGAGCCTGAGCCTCGCTAGAAAGAAAAAACTGTCTACTGATGTACATCTCGTGTGTATATGTAAGAGAGACTTACTCTCCACCCCCCCCCTCTCTACCTCCACCCTGGAGTATTCTCTACCAGAACTAGCGTCGCGCCGGTAACTCAACCCCGTCTTCGGACAACTGTAGCTCACCCCACATTCGAAGATGTCCCGCACGCTACTTCGCTGACTGTGCAAAAGCAAAACACTTTTCAACCTGCCGTTTGAAGTGTGTTCGCTTATCCTTATCCGGGAACATGCGCTTCGGAAGGTCATCATACTGCGACGGAAGCACATGCTTGGTTCCAGATCCGGGTACCAGCGGTGTGTAACACGGCAAATCCGCTTCATCACACCACATTTGCCACCGACCCTATACCGAGCTCATAACGGTGGACCATGTACGTGCCTTCTTCGTACGCCTCAGGCAGTGGCCAATCGCCTTCTTGTAACCATCCTTGGAGTCACAAAACGGCGAGTGATACCACAACCAATCCTCAAAGGGACCCGACGGTCTGTATCTGACAGTCGTCCGAGCATTCGCTTCTCTGGAGAGCTGTCCCACATGGGGCTTCAACTCAGCCCGCAAGAACTTGCGATGCGTGCCGTCTGTCATCTCTACCACGTGCGTAAGTGGTGCCTGCACTGTCACCACCTTGGACGGGTCACCCCAACGTGCAGACAAATCGTGCGACTTACCACGAAGCCAATACGAGACCTGCGAACCGACCGGCAACAATGGTACGTCCTCTCTTCTGATATTGGCGCGACTCTGCTGTTCCAACTGAGCTCGCTGATCACGAACGACCGCGACAGCGCCACGGACCATGGCTTCTGTGCCCTTCCCAGACTCCAGCAAGGACAAAACCCTGTTCTTTTGCTCCAAACGCTTCTGTCCTTCGAAGTCCCTGCCCGTCATGTGGAAATATGGCGAAACCCCCGTGACTGAGTTGCGCGTGGCGTTGTAAATGTGCACCATCTCATATACCAGGTGAAGCCACGCATACGGATAGTCATCTGCTGCTTCAATCTCTCTGCGAAGCCAATCTTTCATCGTCCTGATGAGTGTCTCTGGCCGCCCATTACTCTGATGACAATCCACTATGACCCAGTGCGGCTCAATGTTACGGCGTTCACAGAACGTCGCGACGTCTCCGTTCTGAAACTTCATGTCCACATCCATCACTAGGCGCGCAGGAGAGCCCCAAGCCAAGACCTGCTCCTCCATAAAGCGTACTACACAGGGTCTATCTGCACTCGGGCTGAAGGCTCTTGCAAACATCATACGAGTCTGCGTGTCAACAGTCAGCAACACATTGGATTGACCGTTCACAAGGTCAATGTCCATGAAGTCTATGCTTATATCACGCATGGCTTCCTCAGGGCGTGTCGGTTGCTGGAGGAGACCCTTCTATTTTCCCAAGTCGTCAGATATTGCTTGGCAAGCGTCACAACTCTGTCGCACATGAATGCACATCTCCATCATGCCACTCCAACCCCAGAGCGTGCGTGTCAGCTGATCTAGCCGCTTGGCACTCGCATGCGCGAAGAGCTCATGGGTATATCGTACAATCCGCTCAACGATTGTACCCCCCACCTCAACCCCAAAGACCGAGCGCTTCATTGACCGAAGTCAATATCGCTTCACGTCTTATAAGGGCTCATCCACTGGATCTTCCTCCATCCTAGCACGTTCCTCAGTACTAATAGGCTCTGGAACCACCGGTTCATCCAAATCCATGTCGCCCTGAGCAGGTAACGTATCCACAACCTTAGCCATATCCTTCTGTCGACGCGTCAGCTTTGGGGACTTCGCACTCTGATTGCATGTGTACATTGCTCCTAGTGACCCCCCACCCTGTGACATGCCAACTTCTTTCAGTTGGGCTTCTGTTTTTTCCTCACCGACTGATCCAGCACCTCACTGATATCACGCCATGACTGCGAGGAGAAAGCACCTACCACAGATATAGGTGTGGTCTCTACCCCAGCCTCTTCCGCTGGGAGCCCACACCTAACCCCCTTCCAACTCGGATGAGTCACAGCACCCACTGTGTCTTCCTGCACCATACAGGACACAACCTCGTCCTCACGTTTTACTGCCGCCACAGCTAGCTTCTCAAAGAGGTCAGCCTCCAACTTCTCCCAGAAGTCCTTACGTAACTTCTGCGGTCTGTAGGGACTCATGTGGTATACGAGAGCTACAAAGTCAGGCGCCGGCATAGACTCCTGTCCATACCTCAGGAAAACAACTTCCTTCGGGTATATAACCATAGGATCAGCCGAGAGAAGCGAACCCATATCCTTGAACCGGTGAGCTTCAGGAGCATAAGGGCACACCAACGTTACAGTCGCCTTATCTCACCTAATTATCGCCACTACTCTGCCTAGATCAGACCACTTCGGATTGAAGTACCACCTTGTACCCATCCAGGTCCGCAACGCAAACATCCCTCCTGCCAGCGTAGGCTGATAGAAGGGCTTCATCCGATAGTTGATCGGATGTGCAAAGCCTTCCACACCAAATTGACCAAACTTGTCGCACACCTTGTTGAACTAACTCTTTCCCAAGGCGTAGGACTCTGTCTTGGGCTTCACCACCACCGGATCACTCCAGTGAACCTGGTCTTCTACCGGTGCACCCCGCGCCTGTATAATTGGGTCAATGTGATATCCTAAGCGCGACTGTACATCAGCTACAGGGTTCAGCTCACCGGGTATATGCTTGAGTATTATATCAAAGTCTCTTAGCACCTGAGCATACCGAGCCATCCTCCTTCCTCGCACCGATGAGTCATAGGACAGCGAACCATCTGTCAGCATCGTGACCTTCGGCTCATGATCCGTGAATATCGTGGGCGGATGCTGCGACCTCTTGACTATGTGCCAAGACTTGTGCAAACAATACATAATCGCTAAGGCCTCCTTATCCGTGATGTGGTATCCTAGCTGGGCTGGGCTGAACTTCGAAGACCAAAAACCTACTGGGCACAGCTTCTTGTCTCGTCGAGCGAACGACCCCCCACCCACTCCTACAGAGTCACCTGCATCACAATATAATTACAGTTTATCCTCGAACCCTGGTTCGACCAGAACCCCCCTTTTGGCCACCTCAGCGCGGATGCGATCATATGCTTCTTGCTGGATCGGTTCCCACTTAAAGGGGACATCCTTCTTGCTAAGGTCCGAGAAAGGGGCCATGATCCGGAAATAATCAGGAATGTATTGACTCCAATAGCCGATCGTGTGATACCGGGAGGCAAGTAGGTCCTTGTCTGTGGGTGGAGACATACGCAAGATGGCCTCCATTCTATCCTCACTGATAACAGAGCCGTTCTCGTCTACTAGTCGCCCCAACGCGAGAACCGGGCGATCAGAGAAGCCAAAGCAACACTTCTTCAGGTTCAACTTGACGTCGTGCTTCTTACATGCTGCAATCAACGCCCTGATGCTCCTCCAATGTTTCTTGAGGTCAATGTCACCGACACCCATATCATCGATGTATGTCTTAAGCCCGTCAACGCTCTGGAAGGCATGCTCCATTATCTGCTGCATAACCCATGACGCCGGCTTGATGCCAAACGCCATACCAACAAACGTACGCTTACTCTACGGGGTCCAGAACGTTAGCAGATGCTGCGAGTCTTCCGCCACCTTGAGCTGACAGAAGCCCTGGCCCAGATCTACCATGATGCGGTACTTCTTACCACGCACTGATGACAGGAACTCCTGTTTCGTAGGTGCTGGGTACTCCTCGCAATCCAACGAGCCATTAAGCTGCTTATAACTAATATAACACCGCTAATCGTTAATCGACAACGGAACAAACCCAGGTCTTTTAAAGACCATGTGTGGCATTGCACAAGAACCCTTGGCTTCCGCCTCCGGGATCTCCCGTGTTTTGCGACCTTGGTCCCAGTCCCCCAATTTACCACTAAGCACCGAGGTGAACGTGGGATTATTGTTGTGGTACACATGATAAGCTGGCTTCGAACCATCCTTCACCTTAAACTCTACACCGTCCCAAAAACGGATGTTGTCAAACATCATAAATGTGAGAGAGGCAGCATTATGAGCTACCGACTGTATATCCTTGATCATAGCAGTCAACTCTCTCTTAGGAAGTCCACACGCCTTGTGTAACTTATTCAGCTGAGACTGATCAAACTTCAAGTGTGCCTGTGGATCCACATCCTTAGCCGGAGATATCGTTGTCGCACCAATTGCCATGTCCACCTCAGCTAGCAAGTCATGTAGACGAGGTAGGACGTACTCGTCTGCGTCGTCCAACTCAGCCGCATTAGTCAAGTAGTCCACTCGTTTCTTAATATCCATGAAATGCGCCTGAACCGACTGGCACCCTTGTTTCTTTAATTCATTCCTATGAATTGCTCTGAGACCCAAGTGACTTCGTATCGTGTTGAGCCGCAAATCCTGGGGGATTGCTGGACTCAACTTACGCCGCTTGTGCCCCACTTCCGTTCTCCTAGCGTTCGCCCGCTTACCCGGCGGGCCACGCACACACGGCTGCTCCTCATCCGCAACCGCTAACAAATCCTGCTTGGTCCGCATAAGGGACAAGCGGTCCTTTCTTAAGTCCTTGAGTCCTAATAACACATCCGTATCAAACGGCAAGGACTTGACCACCAATAGAACCATAGGACGGACAAAAGAGTTCCCTCCCCATGTATCTAAGGTCACCGAAGAAGTGACCACACCAGAAGGTCGGACCAGACCCATTTCTGCCACACCTTTGTAAGGCAAGCCCAAGTAGCGAGCTACCTTCAACCCATGTTGGGCCACACAGAACTCGGAAATCAAGCTTGGAGTAGCACCAGAGTCGACGTACACTTCTACATCTTCTCCTTGTATGGCGCCTCTAATAACACTCCCTGCTTGCGCCTTCTCTTCCACTGTCACCCCCAACGATCCTGCCAGTCACTTCTGACGGCACTTAGCCGCAATGTGACCAAACTTCTGACATGTGTAGCACTTGATGTTCTTCACGCGCTACTTGTAGGCTGCGTCCGCATCTTCCTTGTCATCGCCTGACAATTCTACCCCTCTCTCATCATCGGAAGCTTGGGATCTCGTACGCTTACGCGTCGTTTTGTCTGTGGCATGTGCCACCTGTCGCGGTTTCTTCAACAGTTTCCGCAAATCCTTCCATTGGTTCTTTAACTTGGTTCGCAGGTCACTCAGCGCAGCCAACGTCCCATAGTGCATGTCGTATCGGTCACCTTGCGGCGCTGTCGACGCTGTAGGAGAACGCTTATCCCCGTGCACACCAGGTGCACCTGTACCATCACCTTCTTCACACTCCTCCTTAAGTGTAAACAGGACCGGAGTCAAGCCGCCCATCTTGTATGATCGGCGAACACTCTTCCCCACACGCTTGTGGTGAATAAACATCCGTTATAAGAAAACGTCCATAGTATCATGCACAACATCTAAATTGTCTATAACAGCATCACCATACACCGATTCTACTTTGAGCAATCCTAAGAAATAACTGGCTTGAGGACTCAGAAAACTCTCCATGCAATGATCAGCAATCACACCTTCTGTCATATATTATGTAAAAGTTGGTCTCCTCTAGGCTGACTATACGATACCAAGACGTTTACGTTAGTAAGACAATACGATAATACGATAAAATGTAAAATGTTAAATAGGTTTAGCTTCAGCCCTTGGTAATGAGAAAAAAATAAAGGATTTCAGACTGAGACTATTGTCTATATGCTCCGCTCTAATCACTCACTACTTCGGTCTAGATTTATTTATGTTTTAGTTAATAAGACTAAGTATCATTTCATTGGACGCATAGTTTACATTTCACGCCTCAAAACAATCACCCAATCAAACTAACC